AAAAGGGGGTCGGATTCTCAGACTATTACACGTTTCAATTGTCCTTCCCTGAAACCGGTGCCGGATTATTAGACCCATGCTACATTCCCTGGCGCCGGATCAGACCAACATTCCTCACTGGTGCCGGATTATCAGACCCACATTCCTCACTGGTGCCGGATTATCAGACCCACATTCCTCACTGGTGCCGGATTATCAGACCCACATTCCTCACTGGTGCCGGATTATCAGACCCACATTCCTCACTGGTGCCGGATTATCAGACCTACACATTAAATAATCTCCCGAAGCGAACAATATACTAATTCAATTAATCTACAACACAGAGCTAACATCGAAAATGGCGTCAAATATGTCCTGAGACTCTACTGTAACTAGAAAAATCCACTTATCCGAGTTGTAAAAATAGATTCTCACAGAAGTCTCACAAAAATAAATTCTCACAAACTTTTCTCACAATCACTAGTTCGCCCGACTCTCAGAAAAACGAACGAGCTGGGTGTGATAAATCTAACTGGGACTTATTTGTTGTTAAACCCATCCAAGTTAAGACGTATTCCGAGTGTAATTTTCATTTTGTATTCACTGTTTGTTTTCCTCAGGGACACAAGTCGTTTTTGTGATGTTCCGTGAAGTCTTTTAAACATTCCAAGAACACACGCAAGCACGCACACACACACACTCGCACGCACGCACGCATACATACATACAAGCATGCAAACATACACACACGTACAGTTGTGGACAAAAAGAATTCGTCAGAGAGGGAGTTGTAAGCTGTGTCTGTTTCATAATTAAACTAAAAAAAATTAAAACATTGTGGAATGTGAAGAAAATCGCAGACTTTTAATCCTCAATTCTATGTAACGTTGTCAAGTGTCTACCTTTTCCTACCCTTCCCTCCCTCCCTGTCTGCCTATTTCTCCTCCTTCCGTCTGCCTAACCCTCCTCTTTCCGTCTGCCTAATTCCCCTCCCGTCTGCCGAATTCTTATTGTCCACAACTGCATATAAATAAAACCTCTCTCCCCAAAACACTCGATGATACCTAAACATGTTATCGTATCTCAAGCAACACCAGAGGAGTGATGGTGATCTGGGATTACTCAGCCTGAAGTACCAGTAGCCGAGGTGATATACAACCCCACTTACTCACACCACCACTACCCAAGGCCGAGGACGGACACACACACACACACACACACACACACACACACACACACACACACACACACACTCCTCTGGTGATGGCACTGGAGTGGGGTGTGAAGGAACTTGTCACCTATACCTGTCACTCTCCTCTCCTCTCCTCCACTACCTTCTTCCTCCTCATTATCTTCATCATCATCATCATCTCTCTCTTTCTGTTTCAAAATTTCATCCTCCATCCTTACTCCTTCTTCTCTATCCTTCACTCCCCTAAGGACACACCCATAGCTACTCCTCCAATATGGGACTTGAGTGGTAAGAGTCCATCTCACCGCCACAGAAACTAAACATCAGGTCTATAAATCAACTCAAAAGACCATGATTTACTTTCTCTTCAGCAATATATTAAGAAATCACGAGCCAAAACACTCATATTGTACACATGAACCAAGTATTGCCAGTGTCCAAGTAACAGTGGGACTTTTACTTTACTGTACATGAAGTAAGGCTAATTAAACCGTATCGAACACGACCCAAAAATGATTCGTACCTTATCAAACAGGACCCCGAGATGAACCCATCCCTACTAAAATAAAGGACTTGATATGAACTCAACCCCAATACACTGAACCCGAGACGAACCCAACCCTACTAAAACAGGACCCCGAGACGAACCCAACCCTCACCAAAACAGGACCTGAGACCAACCCAGCCAAACAAGTTCACAAACGTACCCCACGAAATAGGCTCTCTCTCTCACACACACACACACACACGGGGTAACTTCCTTGGTGGCGGCAGAAAATTAGTGTGCATGCAGCGGGCGGGTCGTTGGTGCGTAGTGAATACAAATGTTGACATTACGATGGCAGCCGTAACGTTATACGCCCGATCGACACTTTAGTGGTGATAGTAGTGGTAGTGTCCGTGACCACCACTATCACGACTCTTACTACCACCACTACTATTATTATTACAACCACTACTAGTACTATTATTATTACAACCACTACTACTACTATTATTATTACAACCACCACTACTACTATTATTATTACAACCACCACTACTACTATTATTATTACAACCACCACTACTACTATTATTACAACCACTACGTACTACTATTATTATGACAACCACCACTACTACTACCACAATCACCACCACCACTACTGCTGCTACAACCGCCACCACCACTACTACCATAGCTACTACTACCACTACTATTACAATCACTAATAATAATACTACCACCACTACCATGACGCCATCTACTCTTTACGCGTCATATTTAAAGGGACGAATACTCTCTCTCTCTCTCTCTCTCTCTCTCTCTCTCTCCCCCGTTAAACAATTTTACAATATATTCGGTAATTATTTGGGCAATATTTTCTTGCATTTATTTTCCATATCTTCTTCATTTAATTTTTACAACTGTTTCTGTACTCATTATCAATATTCTCTGCTTGCATCATTTACACCCCTGCACCCACCCATCCATCCATATACACACCCCACACACACACACACACACACACATCCCTACATACCCATTCACACACACACACAAACCAAACACACCTACCCCTACACACACACCCATCCTCACCCCCCCCCACACACTCATCCACAAGCACACAAACATACCAAAAACATCAGAAAGAAAGAAAAGGATCAAAAAAGAAAGAAAAAATATAGAAAATAAGACCCCAGGGAGACTTCAAGGCTCACCACGGTAATTGCTTCTTAGGCTTCACATATAGTAAGAGATCTTTTTCAGTCCCTCGGTAATGTAGTTCAAAAGTTTCCTGGATAGTTAAAAAAAAAGGGGGGTTCCCTCAAGTGCACGATAGGAATTTCCCTCCTGATTTCTGTATACAGAACTGTGAATTGTTTAGAGTATATCCGTAGTATACAAGGAATTAACCACTATAAATGTGTATATTTTTTAGTGTAGCTACGGTATATTCTCGATATACAGTATAAACTAGAAATATCTGTATTCATTAACGTGTATAATCAACATTTAGGACTATATATATAGAGCGCACTGTACTGTACCTATTAGTGTAGGTTGTATACAGTATATTCATAGAACAGGTATATTCAAAATTAAGATTTATATAATACAGTACACACAGTATATGGCACTTAATACAATAGACATTTTAGTGGACAGTATATTCGTGGTATATTCAAAATTAAGAGACTGTACCTTGTTATATTCAAAGCCAAGGATTATTATAGAGGTATCCAATAATAGTTTAGTATACAGTACAGGTATACATATTAGCGATATTCTCTTAACATTACGGTTTACAATGGGTTGTTTATTAATGTATACTCAGGCTATGTTACACTATATGGATCTCACAACTGACATTCATTATATATTGCTCCTAAATCTCTCTGAGGGCGGGGGTGGGGGGGGGGGTCAGAAAGTTGTCTTGTATTCAAAACTGCACCCCCAGTAGCTCTGTATAGAACCCTTGATCGACAGACAGAGAGACAGACAAATAGATGGATGTATGGTTCTGGAAATACGTATATGTACCATCCACAACCCTCCCTCCCTTCCATCCTCTCTCCCTCTCCTCCTCCACCCTCCCCCCTTTCTGTCCCTCTCCCATCCTCTCTGTCTCTCCCATCTTCTCTCTCTTCCCTCCCATCCAACCACTATCACACTCCCTCCCTCCCATCCTCTTTTTCTACCCCCCTTCCACCCTCCCTCCATCTCTCTCTCATTAGGCAAGATATTATTATATAAATCTTAATATAGCTTTCATTTCTCAATATTATACAACTAAGTAGATTCTGAAAATGTTGATAAAATTATTTTAAACAGTTGAGAAAGTCTTCACTATCCTGAGTGATAATTATTCTGAAAGTTGTGTGAGTTACATGATAAAAATATTCTGAAAGTTGTGTGAGTTACATGATAATTATTCTGAAAGTTGTGTGAGTTACATGATAATTATTCTAAAAGTTGTGTGAGTTACATGATAATTATTCTGAAAGTTGTGTGAGTTACACGATAATTATTCTGAAAGTTGTGTGAGTTACATGAAAATATTCTAAAGTAATAAAAAAATAAATAAAAATATATTATAAAAATAATACAACTGCATAAACAGATCCTGAGAATTATACAAAACTATTCTGAAAGTTGTACATTTGAAACCTTTACTATATCGGGATGTTCTGAAAGTTGCATGATTATATTCAGAAAGTTGTACTGTATTAGACCATGAGGAAAGTTGTGAGAGAACATTAAAAGATTCCCAAGTAAGACATTACTTTTTTTTCTTAAGACATTACACACACAAAAAATCTACAGCTAATTTCACTCTGTTCAACACTGCCGATGACACACCTTCACTACAGGATTCACCTAACATTTACACTACAGTTTATGTAGGCTTTTATCAATTCAGACAATTTACAGTACATGGTGTATCAATGGGGGTGGGTTAGGTTAGGTTAGATTAAGTTAAGTTAGATTAGGTAAAGGCACTGGGAAACAATACAGTACACCCCAAAATCCAGTATGTAGTTTAATGGGTGAAAATTAAGCTTCGTCATTGTATGTGGTGGCTGACGTGACCAAATTAAAAAAAATATATAAATAAATAGCATAGGCCTAAGCTCATATAAACACACAGATCATGAAAAATCTGAAAATTTTTAAGTTTCGTATGTAATATAAGTTAAAAAAAAAGATGTACTGCCTCAACATATTTAACCTGAATTAAGATCAAAGTTGGTGGATCATACAGCACACAAACCTACGTGAGGGAAAGAGGTAACTAAGCTTAACGTTTTCAAACAATTTCGTTCAGGGGCTGCTAACCTTGAAGTGAAGTCGCTGGCTGTTGGTGGTGGTGGTGAGAGGCCGGTGGTGGCAGTGGTGGTTGCTAGTGGTAGTGCAAGCAGTGGGTGGTTGGCTGGTGTGGTAGGCCGGCTGCCCCACACTGACCTTGGTTACTGGGATGTCTCGACCTCGGGAGGACAACTGCACCGCCGGCATACTTAGCCCGAGGCCTCCCGGTGCTGCATCCTCATAGGACTACGGCTCTTGCCAAATCTCGTCCTGCAATGAAGGCTATTTTCCATAATATGCCGCAGTTATCACGAAGTGTGGGTAACACATCGCTAAAAAAAAATATACAATACTCTACGTTAATTTTTCAATGTAAGCTGGTGTTTCACTAGTTTCAATTACACTACTTTTTCTGGGTGGTAATTTCCCTCACTGGTTTATAAAACACCCTAAGGCGTCCCCTCACTCACAACCCCACCTCACACGCCTGCCCACAGTCACAAGTGTGGGGAGCGGAGATGTACTTCCTCTCCCCTCGGGTTTCTCGCGGCGAGTGAATGAGTCGATACATCCAGGAGCCTTCTCCCCTCCACTAGAGTTGCTATGTCGGCACTTTAAAATAATTAAATCTCTGCATATCGTATATTATTTAAGAGTTTATAAGAAAATCACGTTCATTAAAGTAAAGTGCGCAGACAAATTTTCGTGCATAATACATTAAGGGACAATTTCTGTTCAAAACCGATTGGGAGTTTAATCTGGTGAGGCTATCTGGCAGTTCCGTCTCCCTCAACCGCCGTACTACACTAGCGTGGCTCGCTTGTAAAATGTTTCCCTACGATTTGTTCTTCTCAGAAAGTTTCGTATGGTGTGATATTATATAGAGAGAGCCCATGAACGTTTGGTATTTCATTAGTAAGTTTATGTAGCATGTGAGCACCGTGATAATCAATCCGGTAGTATATAAGAGAGACACACACTGCACCACTATCACAACACCCACATATAAACACACAGTTATCTGCAGTGAACGACTCCAGTGGCAGAGGTCATTTATCTTACATGGCGTAAAATACTTAGGTTAAACCAGACCTCTCATTTGCAACATATATACTCGTATATCCCTCTTTTTCAGATGATGTATATATAATGTTATGATCCTTCCTCATCTGCTGCGAGATTAAAGCCTGTTTCTTTGTTCAGCTCGCCGGAGTTTGCATCCCGGAGGAGGGAAGACAACCCCAAACTTGGCGGGGCATCAGTGACGAGGGACGTGCCTGCCTAACTACATGATTACATCTACCAACACTGCCACACATCACGCCATCAATCTCTCTCTTGTTCACCCTCCATCTTCTTTTGTTTACTAGTGAAGACGACCAAGACTCCCACTCACTGTGTTTACGTGAAGTTGGTTCCTTAATCGTGTAAATTACCCACATAAACAAACTTCAAGGTCGAGTTCATTACATGTACGATACTTAAGGCATTTGGTAATTTATTCTTCTTCAAAATAATGAAGACGTGGTTTAGTTTAAGTTAAAAAGTCACGCATAGTATCTGGTCAATGTTGACGAATTCTGCTTGACAAAAAATTAAGATTAATAATTTTGTTTATTAAGTCACGTTAGGGGGTCAAGTCAATATTTCATCTAATCAATTATCAATAACAAATCTCCTTGAAAACAGAAATGATAAGATTCAATTCACTTCTACATTTTTACTCACTTGACCAGCGGATCACATGAAGATTAGACACCTCGTTTATTTCACCTGGCGATTAAAACCCTAGTGGGTTGAGTTGGGTTGGGTTAGGTTGGTTACACTAAGGTGGTTAATCTTCAGGTGAAATAAGCTGAGGAGCGAATCTTCAGGTAATCCTAATAATCATTTCTAATATACAATGCACAAGTCAGAACTCACGACCAAACTATCTACTGTACTGACACACACACACACACCATATTTATTAATAACTTCAAGAATAAGTTGATGATAAGCACCAGCAGACAACAGGAATAAGGAGAAGCAGAGAAGAATGGAGTATTTATTGCGACACACACACACACCTCCAGCTAGGGTGGGTCACGTGCCTCGCACACATTTTGGCGGGATCAACCGAGGAAAAATCTGCCACGGGTTCATTTGTTGTTATTTTGAGTTACTTTATGACAGAGAGAGCTGGGTAATCACGTGATAAAACCCCTCCCTTAGTGTACAGCATCTGTCGCTGATAGAGAAATTGGTGGGAAGGTTACCATACGGACAGTGACAAACAGGAAACATTACTTCAAGAAGGTAATGACACCCTCGCTGCCACTTACTACAGGTATACAAGCTATGGCCGGGGGGAGGCGGAAAACTTCTTGGCATGTTGTGAATCTTGCCCGAGGATCCTTGAAGATGTTGTTAATTACACAACCTTACAGAAAGCTATTACTAATTAAATGTGTCCGGTGAGCTTACAGTTTATATTGTATTAAAATATGGCCTGAAAATAAGTTCTCACCAAAATAATTTAAATTCATTCTAGAATTAATTTTCGTGCCCAACTAAAGCACCGATTAAGTGTATTTCGAGAAACTTTAAAAAAGCACAACATTAACTGATTATATCCGATTCTGGCAGGAAGGATCCAATGAGCGCTAATTAGGTTTTCTTGTTTTTGTTTTCCGGCAACACACACTGGTTCTTTTCTGATGAAATTAAATATAATTCAAGGATGGTTTGTTACATTCGTCAGCACTCAGGCAGTGGCGCAGAATCTAATCTTCTACCGCATATAAGGTGTTTACCTTACTATTAATTTGGATAGTGGAAGTTTGACACAGCGACAATGAAGTGATGAAATATTTCCTTAGGAATTTGGAAAACTCTTTTAAAAGATTGAATTCTAGAGAAACAAGCAGAGTATAAAGGAAATTACGCACTTCTTTATGAAAGTGAAAACTAGAGAAGGTTTCTCGTTTAATTTCCTCATATCGCCAAAAGACGGAGTAACAAACAATTCAGCATCAACCTTCGGGATCAGGACCTATTTCAAGGTACTGTACTGAGTACGTCCCAAAACTAATATTTTATATTTTAATATTTGCATTAGCTAAAAGTTCCGTTGACTTTAATGATAAAGAAAGTTCCATGCACACTCGTGAACAGAAGTCCTGTCGCCCCTTCTGCTGCTCCACGAACCCTGAGATTCAGACTCATGAATCCGGAGCATTTATGGGCAGAATAATGCACCAGTGTCTACTGCTTCGGGTTCATGAGTCTGAATCTCTTGGTTCGCGGAACAGCACAAGGGGCGACAGGACTTCTGTTCACGACTGTACAGTACAGGAGTATTTACCAAATGTCCACAGAGAGATTGGTAACACTGTTCACCTTAATAAATCTTGGTAACACTGTTCACCTTAATAAGTCTTGGTAACAATGTTCACCTTAATAAATCTTGGCAACACTGTTCACCTTAATAAGTCTTGGTAACACTGTTCACCTTAATAAATCTTGGCAACAGTTTTGATGGACCGTGAATTATTTATATGAGACTTGAGGTAAAAACTATGAAGGTGGTTGACACGTTTAGCTGTTCTGCCTCAAGTTATTAAGTAAACATAAGCTTCAACCTTCTGTTATGTAAACAAAACACAGATGTTTACCTGTGTGTGTTGACGTCACCAGTGTCACTCAGACCTGCCCTGTAAATGTGTGTTAGTATAAGTGAACCCTAAAGGTGAACATTTAACAAGCCTTTGGTGTGTCTCAGCAGTGCTGGTGTTAGTAGGCAGGCAGAGAACATCTACCCTGACACATCAAGGCTCACGGGTCAACAATCACAAATATGTGGTTTATGGCCCGACAATAATCTATGTATTCAAATTGAAACTTAATATATAAAAGCTAATATTTAAATGCCCTTAATTTTAGATGTGCAGATTTTAAAACTGCAACACATTGTAATGCTACATCCATCAGTTAAGCTTTTAAACTGGTAAACTTGCACTTACAACATGGAAGTATCTCAGTCTTTGGTGTCACAGGTAACTATACGGCGGCACACAGAGGTCACCATTTGCTGCCAATCTCCGTTTACTTGTCCTTTATATTTCGACTGCTTATTAGCTCTTAACTAGTAATGACTTCTCACCCTGTAAAACAAAGCAATATTAGATGCAGAATTTATGTGTTCTTTAATCGGGCTGGTTTATGAATCAAAAAATATATACTGTACCTAGGACATTATTTCTTAAGAAATATTTATAATTTCCCTGTGATAGGCTCTCATACCCGGCCTACCAGCTCCACTTCGTATAAACTTAACTCCAAGCAAAAAGTTGGCGCCAAAATATACATGAAAAAAAAAATCGCAATTGCTACCATCCCCAACAGCCTCCTCCCCCTCTTGCTACAGGGAACTACACCATACTGTTTATAAATAATCCAGGGGCCAAATTATAATTACTATTACAATTACTACTCCCCGGTACTGCAGACGTATGAACGCACCTAACTCGTTGACTCAAGTTAAACACAAAATATTTCCAAAAGATTCTGTACGTTAATATTGTCTCCAAATTGGTGGTAAATGAACGTAGCTTCCTAGTGAAGGTAGAAGTGTAAATTTGACGCTATTTTGAACGTACCTTTTGTGGTTTAGCTTAAATTAACCAGTTAGGAGCAGTCTTGGGTCTTCAGATATGAGAATTATTCATCTAAGGGAACCCTCGAGAGTGTGTGGAGCATAACAGCACGAGTACACGGAGTTATTATTACGGGTGTAGCACATTATACTCTGTTCACTCTACACATGCAAGTGGTCTAAATCAAAGGACCTCGTGATTGTTCAAGTCACGCTGGGTGAATATACGCGTTCATGTGTGGCGAAATAACAGCAAACAACACTGATAGTTTTTTAAGTTTTTACTTCCCGGCTTCGGATATCATTTTAGATCAGGGGTCCGTAACCTTTATACATTTATCGGCCACATTACTGTAGATATAATTTAATAATCGGCCACAGCCATCACAATGTTATTGTGAAATATGTATTAAATAATGAAAAATATAACATGTAATTGGACATTAAGAGCTACAGAACTAAACCATATATTAAGACATGTATTGTACTGGTATACAGAACAAAAGTTTCAGTAACTTAATGGGTGGCAAAACATATTAATATGACACAGAAAAATTATGTTCCACATTCAACAACACAAAGGGAATAGTTGTGACATACGAGTCATGACAACCGAATATACCCTTCTGCAATTTTTTTTAATCTTGTTCAAATTTCGTAAAAGCTCCTTCAACAAGTTCCTTTGAGTGTTGGTGAGATTTGAGAGGAACAATAATTATTCTTTACACAAGTCAGAAGGTAACAGTAGGTTGACCTGCAGGCCCAGGAGCTACAACTGTGTATCACCAAGATCTCCCTCGCCAATACCTGTACGTATACTGTATGGCTGACAATCACTAACTCTGACCTCAGAAAAATAATCTGTGAATTCCCACTGCAATCGTTATAATCATTTAATGTCCTTG